CTCTCTCTCTCTCTCTCTCTCTCTCTCTCTCTCTCTCTCTCTCTCTCTCTCTCTCTCTCTCCCTCCTCTCTCTTCCTCTCTCTCTCTCTCTCCCTCTCTCTCTTTCACTCACACGCACACCCACCCACACACACACACAGGATGAGAATGAATCTACTGCCAGGACGTGGAAATATACACTGCCACACGTGTTTGTGTGTGTGTGTGTAAGGGAGAGAGGGGGCGGTGGGGGATAGCTGGAACGGGATAGTGAGGCGGGATAGGGGGAGTGGCAAACGGAGAGAGAGAGAGAGAGAGAGAGAGAGAGAGAGAGAGAGAGAGAGAGAGAATTGTCCTCCTCCTCCGCTAAATCGCTAAACGCAATGTTGAAAACCTCAGAATGATTTGTCGAGGCCCTACTAATAGCTATTAGCCCCGCCAGTCTGTGCAAAGGAGCACCAACCCGAAAATGCCGACGAAAAGTACAGTAAAATACACTGGAAAGCTACAATCTCCAAAGTAGCAAACTGCGCAGAAAAGTGCCTACTGGAAAGTACAATATAATACAACATCACGAAACACCACGTTTGTCATGGATAACAGAAAACTAAACTCGAACGAAATGGCCGTGTCCTCCTACAGAAGTAGACTGGAATACAACATCACAAAAAACTACGTGTGCGCAGAAAACTACCCACTGAAAAGTAGACTACAATACAACCTCAGCAGACACTACGTCTGTCATGGACAACAAAGAACTAAAGTACACTAAGAAAGTCACGAAAACGCTAGTTCGTAATCCGTCAAGAATCGTCGTGCGCACACGGAACTCGCTCGGACCGACGACAACCCCATACGTGGGACCAACCACTGCCACGTCATCGATGTCTCCGACGCTGGCCGCCGCGTCTGCAAGCGGAAGGCTCGGGACCGACCGGACGCTCGTCGGGGTCGTCGTCCATAATGACTCTCCTGCCTCTCACCGTCCTGTCTATACCTGCGACTGCTAGGTCATCACGTCGCTGTGACTCGCGCAGCATAGGTAGACCTTCTGTCCCTGAAGTCTCCCCCTCCCGGCGTCGATCTAAGGGCACGTGTCTCTCCTGCCTCGTTTGTGTGACAACGCCAGGCTCCTGCAAAATAATTAACGCCTCTCTCAAACCGTACGTCAACGGCGGATCCACTGTGCTCGCTGCGCCACCGCCTGCACCCTCACGTATGCCGTCGCCTTGGCCACTGCTGCCACCGCCGCCACCGCGTCTACCACCAAACCCTGAAGCTATAGCATCTCAACGTCTCACGGCCGTGGTAGCCCCTCTCAAACCTGGCTGACGACCGGCACTCGCCGTCGTCACCCGTCTCGTCTCGCTCCATGGTCGATCAGTGCGACCGAACAACATGGTGTCCAGCAACTCCCTCGCACGCTGGGCGGTGTCTCTCCGTCTATGCTCAGCCGACCTCGGGGTGAGATTGCCGCCCTCCCTCAGAGCTGCGGTCATGGGTGACGAAGGGCCTGCGGTGCCTCCAGACGGCGCTGCGACCGAACCTCCAGAAGGTAAGTCCCCTGCGGCCCCGCCAGATGCTGCTGCGACGGATCCTCTAGAACGTAAGCCCCCTGCGGCCTCGCCAGATGGCGCTGCGACGGAACATCCAGAAGGTAAGCCAGGGCTGGCTGGCCCCCAAGACAAGTCCTCCACGTGCGGCAGCTTCCCCTCCTCAGGGACCGTTTTGAAAATACACCGGTTGATCTCCGTCAAATCCGTCCTGTCGTGCTCCTCCAACTCCTCAGCGCTCATAAAACCAAAAGGGAGGCTGCCCCGAGGCGTCGCCACACACCTAATCTCCGGCCTCTCCCATGACAGCGCAAAAGTAGGGACTAGGGGTATGCACGCGCCCCTACCTACACGTCGCTCCTCAACCAGGCCACCGCCATGTGCACGACCCCTATTACCCTCAAAAAAAGGTGCCTGATGTGGCACCACTGGCCCCACAGTGGAGCGAACCACCAAAGTATGTGGCATATCCTGGCCGTCCACTTCACGCCTCTCCAACTGTGCGGAATCTCCCCCGTCAGACGTGGACATCGGATCGGCCTGAGCAGGCACCCCCACCTTGCCAACACCAACGGCCCCCTCCCCCCCAGTGGTGGCTGCTATCCCCTCGGCCTGTGCCGATGGGCGAATATCATCAACGCTCACTGACTGCCCCGTCTGTATGTCCTCCAGACCCGGGGACATCTGCACGGCACCCTCGACTAAACCCCTGGGCAGAGGAGTCTGAGGGACGGTCGTGACCTCGTGCAACGTCTCCTCGGGCCTCACCTGGACGGCAGGAGGCTGCACCGGCTCCGAACGTGTCTCCTCTGTCGGTGCCAATCCGCTTTCGTGCGTCCCCTGGTGAACATCTACTCCAGTGCTCAAAACCTCTGCTGAAGCCGCCTCCAGCTGCGGCGTGTCGTGAACCTCTGCCGGAGGATCCGTGTGGGCAGTTGGTGCTACGTCAACGGACGCCGGCGTAAATGTTCCCAACTGCCTCTGTCGCTCCTCGGTCGCACGACGGGCGAGCTCCTGCGTCCTGGGGTCCCTCTGCGCCATGAGGCCAGCTCGACGGCTATCAAGCCTATCCAGCCTCTCTGCAGATGTCTATCCAGGGGGTGTCCCGTCCTCATCCCCCTCTACCCCCGACATCACCTCTGCTCGCATGGCAGGGGAGAAACTACTCGGGTCCGCTAAGCTGATCTGTCCCAACAACTCCTGCATACCCACACTGATGTCCCCACAGGACTCGCTCTCTCCTCGGGCCAAACCCACGCTCTCTCCCGGGGGCATACCCAAGTCACCAAACTCACTGAAACCGGCTCCGCCCCCCGTCATCGGTATTCGCTCATCCTCGACACTCCGAATCTCGTGCGCCTTAACCGCCGCAGCAACCTCTGCACCGCCTCCGCCTCCGGCCAACGCACCACCATCTCTACGAGCCAACCCCTGTCTATCTCCGTCGTCCCCCTGCACCGGTGAAGAACCGACCTCTAATCTGTCCTGCAATAGCTGTCTAGGGCCCCTCACCAATCTGTGCAATCGATCATCCCTGACTGGTTGTCGACGAAGCTACTCCGTCGAAGTGGGAAGAGCGGTGGATGATGCCGTACCAGTACGAACACGCGCAGGACAATGACCAATCCCCGACTCTGCCCCCCTCAAAGGTGCAGACCCAGGATCTCTCTTCCGCTCCAAGGACCGCGGGTCAGCGGACGTAGTCCTCTGACGCTGTGGAGGGCTCTCGTGACGACCCCTGGACTCCTCCTCCAAGTCAACTCCAACGAAAAGGTCATCTCCGCCACTCCGTCTCCGGATGTCCTCTGGGTAGCTCCACGCATCACGCTCATCCGCCGCAGGACCGGCGGTAGCGGGGCCCGCTGGCTCGTCCTCGTCACCCTCGGAATCACTGTCGTCTCGAGGGTACGGGTGCAATGTGGTGGCTCGAGTACCAAAAACATCGCCCACATCACCCGGAGGAGCTCTCGACCCACATGGGTCTCGCTGCCAAGAACGTCTCTGCTCCTCGAGCTCCTCCCGCGTCCTGCTCTCATCCGTCCCCTTCCACGAAGGGCGAATCCCGATACCTCCCTCCACGTCCAACACAACTCATCCAAAGTCCACGGCAGTGTGAACCCGCGTCCTGCCCGCTGATGAGAGAGAAGGCGGACGTTGGCTGAGATCTCAACCAACTTCACGACCTTCTCGAACTCAAGCCAGTTACGCTTCTTCGTCTGTACACCCTCGTGGACGGCCCAATTCCTCTCCGCAGGAGAGGAGCACGTCCACATGTACGTCTCCGCATTGCCCGTGCACCTCTGTGCATCTCTGTCTCCGTGCCTCCCTCACCAAACTGGCGTCGTAGTCGCTGACAACGCCCTCGAAGTACCGCAAGTCCCGGCGGCTGGGACAGAGAAGGTGATCAGCGGCGTGCGCCGGCTCCAACATGTGGGCGCATCGGGCCTGCACCCTCTGCACAATGTGGTGTGCAAGATCGGTCGGAAGTGCACAAACCTCCTCTGCTACCTGGCGGGCCAGATCCTGTGTCCACTCAACAACCCGCGACATGTGCAACCCTCCACGGTCCAACCTGCGCAGCAGGTCGTACACGGGCTCCATGACACGGAACAAGATGGCCATGGAATCCCACCAGCTGCCATGCCGCACCTGCCACCTCACCCACCTAGGCAAGTGACGAACGGAATGGTCCCAAGGGACCATACCCCAAGTGTCGCCATCCACCGTCCTCTCCAATGCTGACCTCACTGCCAGCAAACGCTCCACCATCGCGAACACGGATGCGAAACGTATCTCGCAAGGATAAATGAGGCCCATCTGCCTGCTCTCCCCCCGAAAAATATGGAGAGCGGCGCCGTGTTCCTTAATGAAGCGCACCACCGCTCTCCCCCTCACGACGATGTCCTTGGACCACGCGCCCGAACAGCCAATGTCTGACAACATCTTGTTGCAGACATGCACTGCGCACGGGAGCCACGTGATCCGTCGATGCTCTGGCCTCTGCTTGGGCCCCTGGAGCATGTTCGCCGCAGCGACGTACGCCAAGGCGGAGTCGATGCAGATGGCGTTCACCCACCTTGGGGAGAAGTCTTCGAACACCTTGATCCAGTGCGCCAACACATCCGGCGCGCCATCCCGCTCACCCTCCCTGTTCATCGTCCGGACGAGCATCACCCCACGGGACCCGCCGGCAAGGAAGTTAGCGATGGGTCTAGCATCGCGTGACTTCCTTCTGTCCGACATAATGGTGGCCCCTGTGACATAGAAAGGAGCCCTGACCTCCGCGAGATCAGCCCCCACATCGTCCGCCGTGTGGACAATGGTCTCCATGTCCGCAATCTCATTCTCTGAAGGCCATAACACCTTCACTGGCCCCGACAATTCCCTGAAGTGTCGGACTACGTCCAACCACGGCTCGCTCCGGAAGACGTTGAACGCCAGGCACTGATAATACACAAACAGCAGCCACTTCTTCTTGAACTCCATCTGCCACTTTGAAGAGAAGGACTCCGAGATAGTGTTTTGCCTCAGCCTCTTCTGTGCTGCCGTCGGTCCCCTCCTCTCTCTCCTTCCTCTTCCCCGCAGACAGACCCGCCTCAGCCGTATCTGCACCTCCCCGTGTACGAGCCGACACGTGCGCTGATGGAAAGTACTGGCCCTGCTGCCCCCCCGGCTCGCTGACAACGCCCTTCCCTCGCTCCCTCCCTGACGACCCCGCCCGCGCAACCTCCTTGACGTCGTCGTGCACGTCGATCTGCTCCTCTGCGTCCCTCGTCTCTCCCTCCCCCCCCTCGTCCCGTCGCGGATCCATCGCAGGCGTCGGACCGTGGAGCTCCTCAAACTGCTGGATCCGCTGCAAGAACTTGTCAGACATCTTGTACTCACTGTTGTAGTGGATGTCAACAAGTGCCTCGTCGGTCACTTCAGGACATCCCTTGCCCTGGCGGAAATGGCGCGCCGCCACAAACTGGTTGCCCTGGAACTCGTGGCCGCAGAAAATGCACTTCAACATTCGATTGCCGCGGAATCTCTCGCCGAGACTCTGCCCCACGCGGATGTACTTGTACACGCAGCATCTCTTCTGCGCCTTCAGATTCTCATCCTCCCCCCCATCCTCAAACACCCTGGACTGACTTCGCGGCATCGTGCCCGCTCGCCGATAACTGTACGAACTCCCCCCGATCTCCCTCCGTCCCCGCACAAGGCCTCGTCGGCCCAATGCTGACCACCCAGTGGCCCCTTTCGCGTCGTCCACGCACCCTGCACGTCCTCGAGACCCCCCACCCCACCAGCGACAAGGCGCAGCCTGCCCAAACGAATGCCCAGACCGTCTCTGTCACCGTTCCGCGTCGTCGTCGTCGCTGTCCGCTGCCGCTCCACTCAGTCGCCGTCCGCGCGCGCCTACGCCACGTCGACTTCTCTATCTCACTCTCTCTCTCTCTCTCTCTCTCTCTCTCTCTCTCTCTCTCTCTCTCCCTCTCTCTCTCTCTCTCTCTCACACACACACACACACACACACACAC